CGTTACAGTATATGTAACATATACATCATGCTTTTATCCCTCTACCCACTATTATGTATATATGTATGTAATCGAGTATGTATCGATAGTAGGTATCTACAGTATGCATTGTATGCACTCGAGTATGTATGTATGTATGTATATACAGTAATAAGTAAGTCCAAGCACAACATCTATCCTTTTTTTCATACCATCCTTTCATTTCATCCTCTCTCCTCTCCTCTCTCCACATCCTCCACTCTCCTCCACTCCCCTCATCCCCAATGTAAGATCTTATTATGTATGTCCTTGAGTCCTTGTGTCGTAGTAGCGTTTTGCGTTTTAGAAATTTAGTGTAAATGCTCAATTCGCGCAGTTGATATTCATCCATATCCATATCCTATCATACATATCCAGATCTCAAACTCCCAACCACTCTTTTTTTATTTTTTTTCTGGCTCTCCTACCTAATAATTATCATCATAATCGTAATCATAATCATAAATAATCATTACACTCCTCATTCGCAACACTCTACTCGTACTGCACAAACCCATTCCCCTTTTCCTTTTCCTTTTCTTTTTCCTTCCCACTTTCTATTACACCACCCTCATTCACATCACCATTCTCATTCACATTCACATTACCATACTCCGCCCAACTCAAAACATGACCATGACCATGACCTCTAACTTTATTCCTCTCGCTCTGTCCTGAATTCGAATGTGCATGTGCATGTGTATCTGTAGGTGTATATTGAACAGTCAGTGGGAAAACCCGCGTATTTCCATAAAGACTAGCGTGTGCCGGTGTTTGTATTTGTGCGTATGCGCTTGGGTGAGCATTTGTATTTGAATTTCTGTTGTTCATTTCTGGATACCGATTTAGATTCGAATTCCTCATCCCCATATAAGCATAAGGCTGTGCCTCCACACCAACAAAACCAGAAGCAGAAACAGAAGCAGAAACAGCACCAGAAATAGGAACAGAATCACGAGCTTCAAGACCAAGGCCAATGGGAATACTGTGAGTGCTGCTTTCTCGTGTCAATCTCCCATTTTCTTGTCTAGTAACTCGTGTGGTTTTTCCGTTTCCGCCTTTTCCTGGAGCTGGGGTGTTTGTTTGGGATTGGGATTGTGCTCGTTCTAATGCATTCTGATATCCCATGTTTTGCTGATGTTCCCGGCTGGATCCGTACATTTGATATGGATTTTCAATTACAGTAGAGTTCGTGCGTCGGGCTTGTGACAGTTGCTTTTGGTGTTGGTGTTGGTATTGGGTTTGAGTTTGGTTTTGTGATGGATTTGCGATATTTGGATTGGAGCCTCCGTTTGCAGAATTACTGCCTCGTTGGTGATAGGATTGGGATTGAGACTGAAATTGAGATGGTGCAGGTCGACCAGGTATGAGGGCGGCAGGTGGTAGTTGCCAGTTTCCTTGTGAGGGAGGAATATTCGTAGAAGTAAATGGGTTGCTCAAGGAATAGTGTGTGGGTGTGGGTGTGTTAATCGCACTCAACTTCCCATTAGAATTCACCATCTCGTTCGTATTTGGCGTACTCATCGCACTAACAACCCCTTCGCTTCCACTCCCACTGTCACATCCTTCAATATTTCCCAAACTCCCACTTCTCCTCCCTCCAGCTGTTCCAAATGGAACACAGTCTACCTCTCTTCCATCTAACTCGTTAATGGTAAAGCTCATCCCAGGTCGATAAGCAGGTCGTACACAAGACACTCCTGGGAGGGGGTGGTATGCTGGATGTGAGGATTCTGGGGGTGGGATTAAGGATGATTTTTCGGGATCGGGGGAGAGGGGTTGGTCGTTTTCGTAATCTTCGGTTGATTCTGAAATGGGGGAGGGATGGATGGCGTGGATTGGGTGGATTGGGTGGACTGGGGAAAGATTTTGTGATTGGGTTATGGCGGGGACTTTAGGAGGAGATGGTGGGGGTTGAGTAGTCCTGGTGCTGCGAGTTCCTATTTGGTGAAGGTAACCCATTAGTTTCAACTCTTGTACAGAGAAAATAACATCAGGAAAACAACAAAACACAATCACCCCAAAATAAGAAAAAAGAAAACTTACTTCCACCAAACGGTGCAAAAACATCCCCCAATCCTAATCCACCCAATCCTCCAAATCCACCACTCGGACTCCTGCTCGTCCTCGTACTACTAGGCGTCTGTAGCGCCTTTCCCGTCGTACTATAAAACTGAATTGTTTCTGGATCAGGACTCTCTGGTTCTGCAAACATCCTCTCTCTCTCCTGCTTTTTCTTCTGGCGGAACCGGAAACAACAGAATGCGGCCATGGCGAAACAGAGTAGTGCGATACCTCCGATGATGGCTCCAGCTATAATGGGTGTTGAATTGGAAGATGTGGAAGGTGTTGCTTGTGCGAGGGTGCTGGAGGAGGGAGAAGAGGATGTGTTGAGTGGGTTGTTGACGGTTTTGGTTATGAGGAGAGTGCTGGGTGAGGGTGTCTGTGGAGTTGTTTGTGAGGATTGAGTAGATTGAGAAGAAATGGTTGATGTAGTAGAAGAAGTGGAAGTGGAAGAGGACGAGGTGGATTTAGAAGAAGAAGATGTAGAAGAAATGGATGCGCCAACTGCAGCGGTATTTGTGTCTGGACATTTTGATACTGAACATGCGTCTACAGAACAACAACCTTGGAAGCCATTGGCATTGCAAACCCACCATTGTTGTCCAGTTGCACATTCGCGCGAATCTCGTATGAGGAGGGATTGATTGAAAGTGCCAGTATCTACATTGAGATACATTTTGATGAATTGACAGGAACCAAATTGAAAGAAAATTAAATGAGGAATCAAATAAGGAATCCAAAATCAAGTCTGTACTAGAACTCAAAAACGTGGGGGGGAAGAATTGAAGTTGAGAGGTTGACAAGATGTTGGAAATATACTGAAAGTGTTCGTGTGTATTGGAAGGTGAATTATGATAAAATGTACTAAACGGACCTTGATCGGATGAGGTAACTTTTCCTTTTTCTTCTTCTAACAATTTCCAACAATCTCCTCAAAAGTGAATACCAAAGATCAAATGAACATGGGAGATGTGATTCATGTGGAAATGTAAAAAATATGTGCCGGTATATCCAATTAGACGCCGGCAAGACAAGGCAAGACAAGACAACCAACAACAACTCTACCGAATAAAATATAACAATTCTCTAACTGTGAGTGGATGTGGATGTGGATGTGTAAACGAAGACTAGGTCACAAAATATGAAGGTCGATTAAGGCTATAGTTAGGTCTGATTTATAAGGCTAAATGCCAATATATCATAGCTCTCTCGAAAGGTCGTTTGTAAGGCACAGCACAGCTTATTACTTGTAGAGTTGCTTACTTTTATATATGTATATAGCCCATGTTGAGACTTCTCGATGCTACTCTACATGGGTATTGAGAATTTGAGAATCCTGTCCTGCATACCGGTATGCATCCCCGTAATACAAAAACCATCTGATATTCGAACTAATTCCCGATGAAGACATTGTTGTTCGGTAATGAATACAACCTTGTGTGTAATATCATGATATGTATATCTTGTTGTTCAATTGAATGAAGCACAGCCCAGGTATTGATCAAAACCTTTAATATGAAGTGAAATTGATAACCAGAAAGAGTTTCCCCGCCGGATAAGCAAAAGGGCTGAGCGTAGATAATCGCCAAATACAGGTACAGCTAATCTTAAAGGGGTAGTGGCGCTTAATCTTTGAAAAATGATTGGTTGTGGATTTATTTGAGAGATTAGATGTATGCTCGGTGCTTCGGACCCGTATTAGATGTAGTGTGACAGAAGATAATATCTCAGCCCCAACAATGCCGAATATACTCGAGTATAAACATCCATATTCGCGATAGACATTTTATATTCGGAAGGGAGAAGGTTCAATACCGGTATATATTATCTACGGAGGTATATGGCATCAAGAGAATTTTCCCATACTAATATTCAATACTAACTAATCAATATCAGTCTATAGAATATACATTACTACTCGTATCTGTGTATCTACCTACCCATGGCGTCTGCCCTCCAACCCAAATATAACCTTACCGCATACCCCAACGCGGCACAGAAGCGCAGTACCCATACTCATTTCTTACTCCGCGTTTCGCACCCATGAGTGTTAAAAGGTAAAGGTTAATAGGTAAGGGGGGTGGTTATTGGGCATTAGAAATCTTAGAAGCGCTCTGTAGTTGGAAAATACCGATGGTTTGGTAAGGTACTCACACTTTGTACTCGATAAGCTTATATACATGGAGCTGCTAAGTTACGGTGACGGTCTAAGCTGTGCTTGTGTGTGATGTTACATACTGTACTGGTATGGTTTTTGAAGATATCGATGAACTTGCGAAAATATACTCGTTGGTGCGATGTACAGGGAGCTCGGTGACACCATAAGGTTACGGATACGAAATCAAAGACATGAATTCTCCCAAGGTCGTGAGCCGCATTCTGATGAGACTTGATCGTATCTAGAAGAGGTATGGTATGGATTTTATATTCTAAACATAACACCACATTCGAATCTGGAGATGAAGAATTAGATTTTCAACCCCGCGTGGTATTATTTCCAAGTAAGACTATATGTTGTAAGACCCGGGGAACCCGTATCCGAAGCATACTGTGAACCAAGACCTAATCGACCACCGAGGTGTCCAATAAATTACCAAAGATATATTGATCAGAAAGATTAGATGATATGTTCGAATTGTTAGAAACTACGAGTAGATATAGAAAATAAATCTGGAATTAGGTGTGTTTGAGAATCAGATGAGCCTACTGAACCGAGATCCTCTGTCTGAAAGAAGGGAATAACAAGGTGGGTGGGTGGGTGAACAACTAAATAGAGTGAGTGACAGTAGAAAATGCATGATGATAAGAAATGAATGAGTGACGGCAGAATTTCAGATATGCAACTCAAATTTCATTTTCCAATATCACGTAAAGACATCATACTAATCATTGTAATTGGCTGAAGCCCCTGAGGATCATCGCGTGCACTAGCGTCTAAGCATCATATCACCAACATGATCTGATCCAAAATCAAAAAACGAACCACTCTGACAATATAGCAAGATAATTGAACGGAATCACAATGGCTCACGCTCAAGTCGTCGATTGTTTTGAAATCATAATGCTCCGATGGGCTGATATTCATCATCCTACGATGAGTTTCAAAGGTATATGAGTAGCTACTCAGTACCTCGAGTTTGTTTACAATACTTTTCCGAAATTACTCATCTTTATATACTGTCCACCACAAAGCACCCAAAAAGATTGTCATGGCTTCAAGATCAAGACTCCACATTGATCGAAAAGAGCTTTACACAGATCTAGAAACACGAATCCATTATTTACACTCCTTCCTTGACTTTAGTTCACGTGAGTTCATTTTCCCTAGTCTCTCCATTTGTATACTAAATTACATCAATATAGGAGATATAGAAGCTCTCATATATGGGTCAAAATACATCAAACAACTCATCCCAGCCGTCGTGAATATCGTATATAGAAAGCTTCTCCAATATGATATCACATCACGTGCTTTCACAACCCGTAGCACTAGTTACGAGGGTCCGCTAGATGAGATGCCGGATGAGGATAGTCCTCAGATTTTACATCGAAAGATGGTTTGTTATCTCTCATAATGATGTAATATTGCACTTCGTCTAACAATCTCTTTAGTTCCTAAAAGGCTATCTCCATAAACTATGTTCAGATCCCAGCCAAATGGAATTCTGGGAGTACCTCGACAAAGTCGGAATGATGCACGTAGGACGCGGTCGCGAGCATCCTCTACATGTCGAATACGTCCACATAGGAGTTTGTTTAGGATTTGTCCAAGATATCATTTTGGAAGCAGTTCTCTCGCATCCGAAATTAAGAATGGAGAAAAAGATCGCGGTGGTGAAGGCGATAAACAAGGTACTGTGGATTCAGAATGATCTCTTTGCGAAGTGGTATGTGAGGGATGGAGATGAGTTTGCAGGGGAGATGGAGGAAGTTATGGTGGAGAGGGAGGGCTGGTTGAAAGGGAAACAGGTTATTGATGGAGAGGAAAAGCCTGAGGAGGAAGGGGAGGGAAGTGGTGAGAAGACACCTACGGAAGAAGAGAAAACGAATAAAGTTTCGACGTCTTGTCCATTTGCTGGATTCCAGGTTGATAGGAATAGTAGGATCTCCAAAGCATAGTCTTGCCGGGACATTGGGAAATTCGTCTATTTGGATACAGAGCTAATGTATCCCAATGTCTAAATTTTGCTTGGAGAATGAAGACTTCCTTTAATAGTACTCGATGCGTATGGATACTTAGGAGTTTGGTTGGAACTATTATTGTATGTTTTATCAAGGATATTCAAATGTCGGTTAAGTGGTCTGAATCTACGGTTCTGCTTCAATTCCATGGAAGTAGCCAGAACTAATTTGATTTCACCGCAAAGGTTTCTCGTTTCATCCCTAAATGTTATACATGTCAATGTCATTGATGCATCGTGGTCCACGTAGCGGTAGCTATAGGTAGATCATATCGATTATGATTTTACTACTACAGCTACTACTACTACTACTACTACTGTTTAATTTGGCTCTTCATCAAATGATCTCCACAGTAAAGTTCCGTTACGGTCTCATAAACATTGGTTTGGTACAGCCATGAGCTGTAGCGATTTACTGAGGAAGAACTTGTGCCACCGTATTTATTATTTATTAATTGTTTGAAAGCTTTTAAACTTCCGGATTCCTAAATTCTAACACATTCATCATCCATCCTCAATTTTACAAAACCAATCACAATCCACACAATCTAAAACACCAACCACACAAGTCCTATCCTGATACTCGAGTAAATCGATCCCACATCTCATCATCCATCATCAACACAACAGCAATGTCATCCGAACGACCAAACTCTTCAGACAACATACCTTTCCCCGGTAATCCAATAATCTTTCCAAAGCCCAGGCCAGAAAGTCGATGTCCGAATCACAGTTTTTGGACAGGAATTTCATGTCCATTCGGTAATCCTAAAACTATACTCCAACTTCTTTCGAAAATTTCTAGACGCACCAAGTCGAGAGCCACCGGCTCAATCTGCTCGCTTTGCGTATGAGTATGCGGCTATTTTGGATGATGATAGTGAGTGGGGTTTGGAACCTGTTTCTGCTGAAGTTGGTACTTGTATTTCTTTCAAATATATTTAATACCTCTCATAAAAGAAGAAAGACTAATTAGTTTCAACAATAGAAACAAGCCATCACACCTACTGAACAACAGTTCCAAAAGTGGAATTCCATTCTCCCCGAAAACTGTCACGTCACTACCGAAGCCCTCGCCTTCCACAATATCCTAAAAGCTATGTACCACCGTCCCATCACTATGCGCTCCTTCCACGAATTCTCAAATACAATCCGCCTCGCCGATTTCTACTGCGCGCTCCCGATTCTCTCCGCCTCCACCGATTCCATCCTCCTCAATCTCATTCCATCCCCCCATCCCCATCTCCATCCCAATCCCCACCCCCATCTCCACTCCCAACCACTAATCCGCGCCCGAAAAAAAAAGCTCTCCAACTGGCTCTGCACCCACACACTCCCCATGCTCCTCATCGCCTACAAACTCCACCACGCGCCCCTCTTCCACGACGCTTTAATATTCGTGGTCGGTTCATGGCCTCGCATGCTCAAGCAATTTGAGAATACTAAATCTCCTGAATGGGACTGGGTGGGTGAATTACAATATCGTCCGACTCTGCGCAAAGAAGTCGAATATGGAATCGCGCAACTAACGGAGCTTCAATCGTCAATTGCGACACGTCTAAGAAGGGAAGCGGCAAAGTGCCCGCAGGTGAGTCACATAATTGATGATATTGAAAGTGGTCTTCAAAGAGAAGATCCAAGTTATACTAGTTATGCGAAGTGTGGAGCCCTGGAAACGGCGGGGTTTTATAGGGAGTTGAGATGGAGACTGAGGTGTGGATTGGTTCCGAAAAAGTGGCAGGGGTTTATGAATAAGTTGGATGGTCTGTTGGGGTGTGAGTTGGTGTTGGTGGATGAAGTGGAGGTGAAGGTGATGGGGGAGAGGTTTTGGTGTGTGGGGGTTGGAGGAGAGGAGGGGGAGTTGCCGTGGGGAGAGGAGGTGGATTGGTGATTTGGGGGGAGGGTTTGAGGGGTTGAGGGATAAGTAGGCGAGTCTCTACTGGTAGCTCAGGGCTTTTTCTATTTATTTGCATATTAGTACAAGAGTATCTTGCGCATTCTTCGTAGCAGACAAAAGCTCCGGAGACTTTTCTCTTCACTAGCGTATTAGGCGTTGTAGCGTAATGATCATCAAGGTTTTATCATTTTCAACTTGAATTGCGGGTCTGATAATTGTGCAGACATGCATATCGTAGTAAGCAATGAACAATGAAAAGTCATGATATCTAACAAACAGTAATCGCCAACCTCGCTAAACGAAAGGACAGCTAGTGAAATATCCGTGACACTGTTTGATGGTATGATATTCGTTACAATTCCAAATTCTAAAAGATTATTAGAAACCACATAAAAATAAGCCTACTTAACTCAACAATTATTAATTAAATATCAAACGCCTTTATAATGTAATATAAATAATTCATTTCCTCCCATAACAGTATCCCATCCCATCCCATTCCATGCCCCGACCATGCACCGTGACCAAACATCATGAGATCACCCTCATACCCACTCTCCGCAGTATAATCTGATTCAGTAATTTGAACCAGTCGTGAAACTGGCACTTTGGAATAGTATCGTTCAACTAATAGTTTGAATTACACAAACTAAAACTTGAAGGTCTAATTGAAAATGTTGTGATATACTGAAATAAACTAATTAATAGATTGATACTAGTTTCATTATCAAATTACTAGTAATAGTTATATAATCTAGTTAATTTTGATTTTATTTATGGAGAAATCAGAACCTATTACTCGTATCATATCACCTTTTAAAAATTGAACTTAAACATTGCTACTGTAGTTTGGATTTGATACACTATATACTAAGTATGAGTAGATTGGTAGATTGATTGAACTGGTGTATTGGTGTATTGGTTTAATTGATTAACTATTGGCTATACTATCTTTGCGCTATAAAAAAATCACAAAATCCACGTTAATATAACGAAACATTATGCTATATCACATCATCTCTTCTATAATCATACCGGTACTCGAGTACAGTATAGTATCATCCGTGTATTTTATCTGGTGTAGTTTGATCTACTCTAAGGATATTGTATCGTATTGATTGAAAAACCTCGGATCTTGTGTTTCTCTACGCGAGTAGAATAGCAGTGAACTCCAGACTAGAGTTTTGAAAGATGTGGTTACTGGTTACTGGAAGGTTCTGTTGAGTTTTGAGGAGTTAGGGAGTGAAGGGAGTGAGTAGCTAGTGGAAGGATGAGTGTTTATAATCTTAGGAGGGAACGTACATACTAGTAACTATTTGAGTATATATTTGAGAGTAGTGTAGATAGTTAGCATTGCTATTCTCAGATTTAAATAGCAAGTAGTTTATCAAACTATTGAAAATATCGTGGGAAGCCACTGAAACTCAATGTAAAAGTCGAAAACGAAGCTAAAATTCGAGGTTTGAAAATTTGAGATTTAAAAATAAAGACTTAAAACTAGAGTTGAACCTAATGAAAACCGTGAATTCAAAACATTTATCCTTGAACAAGTAAATCCCTATCTAGTGTACAACATCTGCAAAAATCCAGGTCTAAAACCTACACTATTCTTACGACTGATACAAAATGAAAATCAAATCCCAAATAGGCCCAAACCACAAGTACCAGCCTACCCGTCCCTGCCAACCACTGCTTCAGAGTCATTCGAACCTTCTGAGTACGAGCACAGGCTAAGGAGCCAACAGGTCACGCTCACCCTTTTCAAACAAATCTCGCAACTCTTGCTCATACTTCTCTAAGTCCTCAAGCTTTGAAGTCACGGTCTCTCGCGCATTAGAAGCCCAAAATGGCGATGCAATCTCTGAGAAGGCGTCGATTTGTGACCTGGTAGCTGGCTCGGTATCGTCGGATCGCGGTTCAAATATCGGGTGCACGTGTTGCCAGAAAGGGTTGAGACACCCTTTGGGGCTATTGAGTGCGTGGAAGTACCAGAATGATCCAACTTTCCAACTTCTTTCCATGATATTTGCACGGAAAGTAGTAGTACCATAGGTGGGAGAGAAAGATCTTTCCTCTTCCTTGAATATATCGGTGAATTCTTGGTGTGCCTTTTCGGATTTTTGAAGCTCGTCACCTCTAAGCTGATCTACACCTCGGTCGGTTATTGTCCAAAGCGGAGGAGCCATCATTTCTATGGGAAGCGAGCAGGCCCACTCGAGATCGATAATGTATTTGATATGCCAATCACGGTCGACAAAGATATTACTTCCATGATAATCGGTAAGATTGAAAACAAATGGTCCAGACCGAAGGTCGCGACTTGTGAAATGCTGAAGAAGCCCTCTCATCATGAATAAACATGCCATCTGTGTGTCGCCGTCTTTCTTGTTGATTAAAGAGTTCGGCTGATGTCGTATACGGCTATCGTGACATGCCAAGAGATCACTATAGTAAGAATCTGCAGTTGTATAGGTAAGGAAGAGTCTTCGCAATATTTGTCGGAATCCCTTCATTTTCCAAGCACTGAAATTGGTGAATTAATGGACGATTGGTGAGTGATATGATACCATGGTCGTCCATTGTCCAGGACCCAATGCGAGGCAGAGGCAATTGACTCAAGGATAGGATGATGCGAGATAGATCCTTGAAGAGGTTAGCCCTCAGATCCTGACTTTGAAGAGTTTCCCAAGTCTCAGAAAGCATTTCCCCTTCTGTTTTCTCGATATAATCCATAATCAGATATCCATGCTCAAGGATGCTTTGACGGGTGTAGTTGATGTATCGACAAGGAAGGGTAGATACAAAGAGTGATGATATAGCACGCCGAAGATGCCAGAATACTCTTGTCCTGAAAGGCGCGTTTTCCGGCCTCATAAACTAGACAGATCAGCGTGTGTTCTAAAATCCTTTCGAAGCAACTAAGGGAAGATTCATACGTACGCTCTGGCCGCCCGGAGATCCAAAGCCCCACAAGTGAGGTATAGGAATATTAGGAAAATTATCCTGAAGCCAAATGAAGGTAGCAGCTTCAGTACGTAGCTTCTCGTCCGCATTACCAGGATACAATGATCCCCCATTCTTGTAGGGTAGAGGAAGTCTAAGTAATACTCTTCTTTTGGGATGCTTACTCCAATTATCAATATATACCGGTACACAAACATTAAAACTACCGTGAAGCCATTCTCTGACTTCCATTCCCAATCGACAGGTTTCGTTTGCGGTTAAGGACAGATGGTACGATACGATGGCCTCGAAGTCTTCGCGGTGTTGCCTAATCCACATAACAAAATCAAATCGCTGGTCGTGATATGCCAAGCGGAAGAGCATATTCTCTTCTTCTTCAAGGGCGTCTGCCAATGCAATTCTCCCCCGAAGAAGTGGAAGGGTGGGTGCTTCTAGTGCAGAATCATCTTTCGATGGGACTTTCTCTGAATCTTTAGGGCTAGAAGGTACGAGTTCAATATCTGAATGGGTGGGTGATTCTAGCGCAGAATCATCTTTCGATGGGAAGTTATCTGGATCTTTAGGGCTAGAAGGTATGGGTCTGATATCGGAATGAGTGAGTGCTTCCAGTCCTGAATCATCTTTTGATGGGAAGTTCTCTGGATCTTTAGGGCTAGAAGGTATAGGTTCAATATCTGAATGGGTGGGTAATCCTAGTGCTGAATCATTTTTTGACAGGAAATTTTCTGGATCCTTAGGGCTAGAAGTTGTTATCGGTCCAGTATCTGAATCAGCACCATTCAGTTTCATGATGAAGGTCTAAAAGGTGTTGAAATGGTTTAAACGAAGGATACAACTGTATTACAAGGTTTGTTGAGCTAAGTGTTGTGTTTTGATCTTTGATCTGAGGTTCCGTGGATTGCGCCCGGTGATGGTACAATGGTGAGGCTAAGGTTTAACCAATCGGCCAAAACTATTATTGGTACTTGTTCGTAAGGTTACCGTAGACGAATTGTCAAAATGTCTCGTAATTTCATGAAATGTAGTGTAGCCGTCCGTCACGTGCGAAGCCAAGATTCATTCTCAACCAATATCGTCTAATCTTAACTACCCCTTTGGTCAAGTTGCATAATAAGACTGCTAAACAGATGAAATTTAATGATAGATTATCCGATCAGCAAGTTCACATCCACTTCTGGATCACAATCTTGTTATTGGCGATTGTAAGTGACAAAAACTAGGCTGGTATATAGTACGGGCTTAAGCTCAGTTGACTAAGAAGTCCACTGCCGTAATTACATCCGAACTACCTTTGTAATCCCAATCTCCTAAACCTCGCGACATCCCCAGCTGTTGACAACAGTCTTATGGTCGGCACATCACTCAGCCCACTGTTGATCCCCGCAGCGTCCTGTCGCCGTCGTTCGGCTTCAAATTTGTCGGCTTCAGCCTTGGCAGCTTTGGCCTTGGCAGCTTCCACCTGCTCCTTTGCAAGCAATTCATGCCCATCGTCGGCGTTGGCGTTGGACCTCTCGAGATCTGAATATACGGTATAAGCAATGAGTCAATAGCGCAATCTTTTGACTCTCATCAGTCAGGTATACATACTTGGAGGTATTGGTAAGGCTTTGGCTTTGACTTTGAAACACAAGACCTCGACGGTACGGTATGTATTTCCTTGCTTTGCTAGCTTTTCGAGGAGCGTATAGATCTCAAAATGATGGAATTGCAGCTGGAGCATGGCCTCCTTTTATAGATCAATTAGTAGATGGCTCATCACCTCGCAATATGTCAGGGCCTTCTCGTAGCATTCATAGCGAACAGATCATGACAGGACATGATGCAAACGCACATGTCCAGCCTGATGCAGGTTACACAAAACATAATTCCCTTGACCTTTATCCTATAATATCAGTACACGATTGTGCAACCACCTAATGAATAACCTCAATTGATAAGGGGCTCAGAGATGGGCTTGGCTCAGCCCTTCTTAAATTGAAATTGTTGTTGATTGGAGCTTTGAGATCTAAAAACTAGACGAATAAACACATGCATTACCCCTCCTTCAAATTTTATCTACATGATGATTGGTCGGCATACCTTACTGTGCATGCATCCTATCTAGATCGTCAGATTTGGATCTTTTAGCAATTCTAGGATGGTATGTGACAGATTTCTTATCACGATCAACAGCAAAACCTTAAGGTGGCTTGCTGCAGACGCTGGTCAAAAGTTTTGTTCGTGTATGCGGAAAACTTCATTCACCGTTACAGACCTCGAGGCCCAAATGGGAAAGCCACTGCGACCAGGGAGGGTAACGATCTTAGAGAAAACATTCGCTGATAAACTTTCTCTATGAATCGCTCTCGCAAAGTCTCAAGCCGAAGATCGGATATGGATGTACTAAGTCTAAACTCTGACGTTAGGTGAGTCACGGTAGTAATATAGGCTTGCATCTCTATGACTATACTAGATTCGCAGTTACTATAACGTTTGCAAGTGGCTTTTACCTGCAATCAATGCCAACAAGCAGTCTCACCGTCTTTTCAGAATTTTCACCCTGCCGGTGCCTAGCGATATTTATTGGCAAATCCCAATGTGTCTCTTTACATTAGTAACCATCTACTCGAGTAGCTGCATTACAATTACTTGAGTTGCCGGATAGCCATATTACTGCATGAATATAAACAAGATTTTGCACAAATGATCAGCAGACAGGAGCATTGAAAAGAAGCAACCTAAAAAGTAAGTCTTAACTATCGGCTATCGACATTGGCGACAAAAGGGTAGTGGGATATTGGTATCCACCCTCAGAACATGTGGTAGAATGCTCATAAGAATATGATAGAGGTGGCGTCTGCATATATCCGTTAGGACCCGAAATAAGTGGCTTCGCAGCTTGAGGGTGCCTTGCATAAGGATTAACATGTCCGTAGTGTGAGTGAATATCGGTTGATTGTTGGTTGTTTAAGAATAGCACAGACAATAGCGACACATTGTTTTCTCTCCACCGGAAAGTTTCCTAATCTGGTATTAGTGAATTGCTAGCCAGTGAACATAATAATCAAACTTACACGCCACGATCACCGACATTAGAATTAATCTTACCCTACACAATCATATAAAAGGCTCTCGGTACGATACACCAAAACTAAATACACTAGCACTAGCACTAGCATTTAGCTAATCATTCGAACCATGTATATCCATCATGGTGTATATCTATCATGGCTAAACTTGTCTGTGCAGCTACATAACTACATAGCTAATATACAACAAACCGCCATACAACACTCTGTTTCGGTTCATCTCAAGAATCGACCAAATTTTTTTACAGAAATGAAACCATAAAATACTACTTGATCTACAATTACTCGAGTAGAGTAGACTAGTCAAACAATTAAGACACTCGACCAAAGGAAGACTAGATCTATTGGAGTCGTATACTCACTAAAGTACTACTTAACACACAATTAGACCAGTTGAAAAAGTAAGACTCGACCAATGGAAGCCTAGATCTTTCAGCGTCGTACCCACTCGCTAAACATCCGAGTAAATTGAAGAATCCCGGCATTACAGATTTTCAGGTAAAAGTTGTTGATTGTCTAATTTCGAGTCGCTTGATGAGAATAGATATAGATTGCGTGAAGTTGAGTTGGAGATGATGGAGGTAGATAGTAGAATATGTTGCCTAGCAATCTGAGCATAGCACTAGCAGCGACAGACCTACTTAGCATTGATATTGCTAGATATGTCATAATGGTATGAAGTATAATTTAGGATTCATAAATACAAACGGGGGTATCTTATTATTCTTGCTTAAGCTTTTCAAATAATTACAAGTTCGTAAGTGGGAAAGTAGGTAAAAGACCCCGCTCGGAATCTCTAGAATATGAACAAACTCTCCAACTCTCAAGTTCGTCACTTCATTATTGACTTTTTTTCTCCCCTTCTCTCGCCTTCTCCTCCTCAAAATGCTTCACCGTAACCTTGATACCCTCATCTAACGGCACCAATGGAACATACCCCAGCCTACTTCTTGCTTTCTCAATATTGAAATACCTCGTCATACAACTAAAGTTTACCTTCATCCTCGTCAAATTAGGAGTCTTCCCAACAATCCAGAATAATCCCTCTATAAATCCTGCAAGCCCCACTCCAAAGTCCTTTCCAATAACCCATACGTGTTCTTTGCCTTTGGTAGATCCGGCAGCGGCCCATACTGCTCGCGCGAAATCCCAGAATGGAATGGGTGATCCATTGGTAATGAGAAAAGCTTCACCATCTACGCGCTCCGTATCTAATGGAGTTGTGCCCAGCCCTGCGGTTGCGATGAGGGCGGCGGCACAAAGCAGATGTGCGTGTGCGACGTTTTTCACGAATGTGAAATCGAAGAGATTGGTATTATCGCCAAGTTGGAAGCCGGTACGATTAGTGTAGTGGACATTAAGAAGGGCGGGTATTAATTGAACGTCTCCGGGACCGAAGATGCCTGAGGGACGAATGGAGGCGGTAAGGAGTTGGGGAGATTCTGGTGCGCGATTTGCTGCTAGGACTGCAGCCTCTGCTTCGGCCTATTCATAAACTTGAGTTAGTATACGTGATTGATCAAAGAACCGGCGTAACCGGACAGAGTGAAGAGGGCAATCTAAAGGAACGTACCTTCGTCCATGAATAATACTCCCGTTGCAGTTTCTCAGGGATAACAGGCCACCTCTCATTTGCATTAACCAAATCAGTGGTATTATCGGAAATTATGCTGGCGCTACTTGTGAAAACTAAAGCTTTCACTCCAGTCTTTTGGCATGCCTCAATTACACATTTCGTTCCTCCTACATTGACTTTATGGAACATTTCGTTGGTGCCAGAGATTGCGACAGGGGACGCAGTGTGAATAACGACATCTGGCTTGATGGAGTTAAATACTGAGAGGAGGGATTCGAGTGATGTTATATCGCCGTCGTGATAGGTAACATCTAGGGAAGAATGTCGATTTCGAGTTGTACGTAGGTCGAAAACGGAGATGGTGCAATTATATCGATCGTGAAGGAGAGAGACGATGTGATGACCTAGGAAACCACAACCACCGATTACGAGGACACGACCAAGGGGGGCTTTTTCCTTGGTAGACATTTTTGAAGTAATTAAGAAAATTGACGTTTAAGGAAGAGGAGGAGATATTGTGGAGATTGAACGTTGTTGTTTGTTTATGGGGGACAAATCCTGGGGTTGTCAGATCGGGTCGGAAGAACATGATCCCGAAATGTTCATTTGTCGAGTAGGTATTTACCTAGCTTTCAAGACACTCTTTTTATATGTATCATTGCTGAACAGTACAATAGTTTCAAGTTGGTCGAAGGTAGCTGAAAGAATGCACAGTGTTATTTCTAAGTGGAAATATGAGATGGCTGAATATCAGTATACTTTATGGAAGGGAAGGTTCAAATTTCTGCTTCTGTTTTGGACATCAACCGCATGAGCTATGCTTGGGCTGGAGCTTTGTTGATACTTAGAAACAATCGGATATTACCAGGCTCAGTGGTCTGCATATATCGGACATAAATCGAGCTTTTGATTTGCTGCAGCGACAATGAATTCTACGCCTTGAACTTCTTGGCTGATTCTTGAACGATATTCACACGGGACAAGCAGAGACAACATGAGATCTAGATAATAGATTCTACAACAAAAGTGTTGTAATCGAGTGATTGCTATACCAAACCAAAACACGTTTCCGAAGATAAGCACGACCGTTGTGAGGCCTAATCTATCCATTTGTCAAACCACATCCCCTCTAATTTGGCATATTGTCCTTCAAATCGGTCATCCAAACTCTCGGAGGCTTCCCATTCTGATCTTTTTCAACTGATAGAAAAGTCTCGTCGAGTCTATATCACTCTGTTGCAACTCCGGTGGCTCGCGGCATAGTTCATTACGCTTAACTCATTCTTAGCCCCCAACTGTTCTGCCCTTCTTTTCTCCAATTTGGAATAGTGCTCATCGCAAACAGATGCCGTAATCCCAATTTACGTCACAATTTCTGCATGAAGACCTTCCACATATGACCCTTTCACTATTTTTGAAAGTTGCTGTGTACACAAATACACAGCTCAGGTCATTTGCATTAGGAAGAAAGCTACGGCCAGCGCCGCATTTTTATTTCCGCCGTGATGCAAACAAGTATGGCATCTTTTGCCAACCGAATCTACTGAATACAACACCGACATCAGCAGTGTTCCAGGATTCGAATGCCATGTACAGTTACTTTGAAGCAAAGTCGGCATCTTCTTGGCTATCGAAACCAGCTTGCCATGCTGCCCACCGGACAACAGAGCCAGGCTGCCAGCGTGGGCACTCGAAATCTAGACCTACCATGAGGCTTGCGGGGCCATTGCGAAGAGCATGAGAAATGCTTCGGTGGATCCAGCAAGCTGGGGCCTCTTGAATAACGAATTCGATGAAGTATCAAAATTCTGGAACATAGATAGTTATTGGCTTTCTCGTCCGGAGAGCATCTCCCATGAATCCAGATCAACGAATTGCAAGTTGAAACATGTTGGACGAAGGGAGTATCGATAAGAGGTTTTAATAACAGTGTCCAGTTCTCTGATCATAAAAGATGTTGGAAGTCCAGCCATATATGGTACGTCTTTATAGACAAACGAGGATACTTATCTCAACCCAATCGAAGTAAATCATTGACAAGAACTGTAAATCAGATGACTTTTAATTAACATAGTCGGGATTTCCGAAGTATTAGTTTCTACATTAGCACGTCGAACTGCAGACTTCAAACCAGCCCAGTGATCAATCATACATCGACTACCATTCACGAAGCGACTACCGAGACTATCCAAACGCTACAACTCAGCTCAGCTCACTGCGGAGTAGAACTTGCCCCAACACTCCACTTCACTCCATCAAATCATTTGCGCAGTAGCAGAAATTTACAAAAGCTAATGATCATCTAGCTACCATAGTTCGATAAAGAACAGCTCCGAGCGAACACATCACATGTATTCAATAAAACAATCAAATGTACCCCTATTACAATAGCCTATCAAATCCATCATTACATAATCAGTCAACACTCTAGACCTAACTACACACCAGCTAAGGAGATGGCGGACCGGACCGCTCGCTAAATACTCTTAGAGTCTGGTTTTCTCGGTTAACTATACAATCGGAGCTCGGACTGCGAATGGTTGAAGTAGTTGCATTGCACAAGCCAGATCGACTGTTGAATATTCTGCAGTGGTTTGTGTGCAGTGGATGCAGGGAGTATTTGAGTGTCACAAGACTCGCTCATAGTGATTCGTTCGTTTTGGTTTGGTTTGAAACATCGAATTCATGATAGTTTATTATTGTAACTGTGTATAAGAATCTAGATCTCTAGACCTATATATAGTAAAACCTAGATCCGCATAGCTTTTATTTCTTTAATTCTTTTGGCAAGGCCAATATACTAATATATTGATGTTTATACTCAATATTTATAGATTGTTCTACAAGCCCAAAATCTCTAATATATAATATATAATAACAAAAACTAGTAACAACTAACTAGTAATAATAAATAAATAAATAAATGGATAAATATATGGGTACTATACTGTATAATTTAATTATAAATTTATAAATCATACTCGAGTATATAATTCACACAATTTTTATATAGTAATAGCAATCTACAAACAGGACAGACAGGAAGGACCTTTCTTTATTCATTTATCTATTCATTCATTTCATTATAATAAACGGCAAAAGAAACTTGAAGTAAGCAAACCCAATTTGACTAGGAGGTTCAAGGAAAAACTACTAGGTATTCAGACGAATTTCTCACTTCCCCCCCCCTCCTGTCTGACCATCATCATATCACCGTATCAACATCTCAAGGGTAGATATACTCGAGTAGTCTAGTAAAATTAATACGATTAGAGTTCTTGATTTACATATAATTTAAGTATAAAGACAAAACAATCCAAGTCTCATGAAATCAAATTCATTACAATTACAATTACAATTACAATCACAATTACAAAGCCAATAATCACATGTACTAGGGGTATGTATTGATTAATTTATCGTATCTTATCTTATCTTATCTTAAAACTAGTTCCCTCCCTCTCCCTTTCCTCTCCCTATGCCATGCATAACCCCTTCTGAATTGCTGTCCTCCCCCTCCTCCAAAAAAAACCTAACAAATGAGTGGAAAATAACATAACCCTACCCTCTTTCTTCCCTTCCCTTCCCTTCCATACCGACTACGGTCTAGTGGTCTAGTTAGAGCCAATCTCGACCAAACTACCATATCATACTGTTTTATCCCCGTTTCGTTTTTCTTTGCTGATCCCTAATATATGTAACAGCAGCATCGCATCCTCTTCTCCTCAATCTCCTATTATAGTGACAATGTAATGAGTGAAGATTCATCACCATCCTCCCAGTCCCCCTTCCACTCCCATAACAAAAGAAACATCAATACACAGTAAGTATCTGCTCTGTCCTTGTCAAAAACTACCAAATACAAACGCCTTACGATATGCATATCCCCATATTCCTTATCAACGCCACGCTTGAGTCATGATTTCGATTACTGTAAAAGGAAACAAAAGTCCAATGAAAAGAAAAAGAAGCTCGTAAGCTTCAAATAGAATAAACAAAGGAAGAGAAAAAAAAGTTGTCTGAACTGTAATGTGCCTACTAAAGGCAAATAATATGACATTGAAAAGAAGAATGTTGTGTAAGTCGAGTTGAAGTCGCAATAATAGTATTAACACTGATCTGATCGATGTTTCTTGGAACTTTTAACGACACTAAGATAATCCTCATTCGCACCTGCGCGTGAAGATTTTGATGTAGGTCGAGGAGTAGGTTCTTCGTCTAGGAAGGAAAATTGTGACTGTGATTGTTTTGGTGTCTTAAATAAATCAACTTCTTCATCACCAGGACCCACAAACCTCTCTGGAGGTGTTAAAGTAGCGCCCGATATCTCTGACGCTGGAGGTATTTCTGATGTTGGTGACGAAAGAATTGCCTCTTCAATAGTAGGAGGTGGTTCAATCGAGTCAGAACTTAACATTTCCGTCCCTGAAACAACACTGCCACGACTATTCGTGCGCATCATTTCTATTCCAAGTTTAGAACCACGATGTGTCTTTGGGGAAGTAGTACCCTTTGGACTAGTCTTTTCGCGTACAGCAACATCACCCAATACTTCATCCTCATCATCACCGGATTCACCACATTCATGGCGATGTTTCTCAAGATTTTCTCGTTTCGCCTTCATCTTATCAGAAGATCGTTGACGGGATAGATTTCGACGGTGTTCCAGTCGAGCTGGAGAAGAACTTTCGTGTAAAAGGTTGGGTGGCGGAAGTTTCGGTAGTTCAATGGCCTCCATCATGCTGACTTCGTTACTGATTCCAAGTCCCGCCTCGTCCCAATCACCTGTAGGTCTTCTATTAACGACAACAGGAGGATCGTCATTTGGAAAAGCCTCGGTATCACCAAAAAGACTGGAACTGATGGAATCTTCACGACTTGATCCTCTAAAGCTTCCAGCAGCCATATGTGCATAACCAGACGAAGTTGGACTATCCTCAAGACGTAAACTCTCTTGACGTAGACCAGATGGTGGAGGATAGGGTGGAGAAAAGTTCAAACCAGATATAGGTTCTTTCCATTGACACAATCTACTAAGGACTTCGGTAAGCGTCGAGGCAGTTGGAGGCTTTTCGATCAGAGCATCAAATTGATGGGGTGCTTGGAGTTCTTTCAGATACCCAGTAATGGCAACTATGGGAGTTTGAGAGTTGGCATTCTTAGTCTCGCGAATCATTCGAGCTACATCTGCACCATTGATTTGAGGCAATTTAAATTCCATCATAATGATATCAAATTTGATATCACTGATAGCATATCTCATTGCGTCGGCACCATTCGAGACAGTAACTGTACGACATCGTAATTTCTCCAACAATTTCTCCATGACCATTCGTGATACTGGATGATCTTCACATATCAATACATCCAAAGGTCTAAAAGCAGGGCCATCAGATAAAGTGATTTGAGACATCCGTCTTGAGCTTTGACGGCGACGTTGAACCCGAAGCAATGCATTGGCCTTCTCTCCCTCATTGTCCGAAGAGGAAGGCGACATGTCGAATACTTGACTTCGTCGTTTACGATGGGATAAGAATTCGCCTGGTAAAGGACTTCCTTCTTGTGATCCAACTGTTTGCGAGCGAGCCCTTGAAGACGATGAATTACCGCTACCTTGTCGTGGGGTAGCTGGTGGCGCTTTTGCTGGCGATGATAATGCAAGTGGTGGAGGTGCCGATCCGCGTGTTTTGATAGGCGAAGAGGCGGCAGAACTAGCAGTCTTATGAAGTCCAGGGGACGTTCTAGATCCATCAATGAAACTGGCAGGAGGTGCAAGATTATTGCTTGACTGCTGTGATAAGCTCGAGGAATTGCTCGAAGTCTTACGCCTAGCGTCATTGTTTTGCCCTGCAATGAATGAGACAAGTAGAGGTGATGAAGGTTGTGAGGCCCTACTTGGAGAAGAATTTGCTTGACTCAATCCAGAAGGAGACGAAGGCCGAACAGTAGCTTTGGCATTCGACAGAGTTCGTTGAATAGGCATTGGCATTGGCAACACCGGACTTCCTTCCAAAGTAGATGGGGATGTGACTATGCTATTAGCACCGCTAGGGCTGACAAGTGGCTTACTTTGAGTGCCCATGGCTTCGAGTCGCAATTTTTGAATAACATCTTTGTTTGCCTTTTCTAGAACTGGTAAATTTTTGAAAGCGAAGTTACCAAAATCATCTGCTACAACAGGTTCGCTAAGTCGCCTGCTCTTCATATCTCGAACGTGAGGTGGAATGTGCAATGGCATCAAACCTCGTTTGACACTGTTGAATTGACTCCGAACTCGAGACAAAGCATCATGAGGGCGTTCAGGATATTCGGCACCAGGTGTGGGATGTTGAGTAGATGATTGATCCTCCATCTCTTCGGCAAAAGATTGCAAGGTGGCTCCTCTAGCATCAAAATACTCGGTATCCTCGGGATTTTCTGGCGCAGGAACAAATTGTGCATCGTCTTCAAGTAGTTTATCCCACTGGGTGTCTTCAAACCAAGGATGATTTCGGATCTCATCACCACCAGTAAGAAACTTCTCTTCTTTATTGGCACCAAGCCGTTGTTGTGGATCTACGCAAAGAAGCTTATTCATTAGATCCTTAGCCTCATCCGAGACGTCATAATCGCCTTCATCTGGCCATGAGATTCGTCGAGCCAGAATGTTTTCGAAAACTTCATCGGGTGTGTCGGCATGGAAAGGTGGGTAGCCATAGATAAACTCAAACATGATACATCCCACAGACCACCAATCACTCACTTCATCCTGACCAAGACCATTCACAGTTTCGGGAGCAAGATAATCAGGTGTACCAACGAATCGACGATTATTATCATCCGGGTCAAAAAGGGCCATTGGAGGAGGCATCATGCCTGTACCTGTCTGTGGTGGTGTACTGTGCCTGGCGTCTGAGCTGTGACTCGTGCTGGGTTGAAGACATAAGTCTGGGGATCCACTAGCCTCATTCTCACTCAATTCCTCGATGGGTGTTCTCCTTTGATTAAGGGGTTGTGGGTGTTGAGTCTCGTTTAAGTGAAAGGTGTTGAACATGGCGGTCAGTACATCACTGCCACCGCTGTCACTCCTATGGCCAGACTTGCGTCGCGAATCCTTGTTGACAGTGTTTTCTCGACTCAAATTGAAGTATGAGGGTGTACCCAAACTACCCCCGGCATCTGGGGTCATTTGAGGCGTCGAGCCGGGTGAATGATGATGTCCCTGGAAATCAAACGATGAAGCACGGGATGAACTCATGGAAGTAGCTCGAGCAAAAGGACCTTGTTTGAGTAAATCTGGAGCCGACTCATTTGCAGCAGCGCTACTCAAAACACGCTTTTGACGACCAATCAAACCCATTCTCGACAGACCAAAATCGGTGAGTTTGAGGTGACCTTTTTGATCGATGAGAAGGTTGTCAGGTTTCAAATCACGATGTACAATACCACGATTGTGGAGATGCTCAACACCAAGAATCACCTCACCGAGGTATTTCTTCGCCCAGTCTTCTGGAAGACCCCCGAGAACTTTGATGAGAGATGCACAATCACCACCATTAAGATACTCCATCACAAGATAAAGATAGTCCTTGCTTGAGAAAGTCCAGTAGAGCTTAGCGACAAAATCACTCTCGCCTTGCCACATCATGATAGCACGTTCAGCCTTAACATTTGTGACTTGGTTCTTGGCAACCATGTCAGCTTTTTTGAGTACTTTGATCGCGTAGTAGTCACCAGTAGACTTCTTCTTTGATAGATAAACACTACCAAATGCACCTTTGCTGATTGGTTTGATAATCTCGAAATCTTTGATCGACGGTGGTACAGCACGTGCTTGTGGAGCACTGACGGAGTTTAGGCGAGGTGATGGTGGTGGTCGTGAATCTGATCCAGCAGCCGAGGACTGACGTCGATGGTGTGACGGAGCTAGTGCGGGTGAGCTGAACTCACTTCCGGGAAGCATCGGCGATGCAGTTGGAGAAACAATACCCTCGTGGGCGATCGGCAAGATGCGTGGTTTGGAAATTCTCAATGGGGACGACGGAGGTGGCATCCGAACGGGTGACTCTTGTCGTCGGGGTGAGAGTGTACCAGTGCCGAGAACCATGCTGCGTCTATGTCGTTGTCGGGAACTTGCATGCCGACGAAGATCTCCGAATTCTGAAACCGGTGATTCTGTTCTTGGCGGACGCCCCATGACTGATGTTGATCTGACACTACCATCACTCTCCGCACCCGTGTCACTTTCGAAAAAGATAGATTCCCTTCTTGATTCCCTTGCTTGTCCGAGTATGCTACTCAAAGCACCTTGGTGTGACCGAGGGGTCGGACACTCCTTGGGACTACTGGATCTGGTAGAGGAAATGGCAGCAGATGATAATCGGCGACCTTCATGCACCATACCCGTACCGAGTTCAGCAGCTCGAAGTGCTGCCGCAAGCGACGAAGGCCCATCGAATGAACCAGCGAAAAACCCCTCTTCATTGGCCGGAGTTGTTTCCTCAGGTTCCTCGGTCGAATCACTAAGTTGACCAGCTGCAAGCCGAGCAGCTTTGTTAATAGCCTCATCAATACAATCTTGTACGATGGCCGAAAATTCCATACGAATGCGTTCGGAGTATTCGATGATTCTGCGGTGACGAATGACGGCCTCAACCTTTGCACGAGCAACGGCCTCGCTATCCCTACATAATATCGATAAACCTTCCTGATCAACAGCGTTCATATTTGGTGATTGCCATTGCAGGACTTGGGATATGCGAGATTCCGATTGAGGAGACTGTGTACGAAATTCTCCAGGAGCTTGCGGGGATGGCTCTTTGATCGCAGGTGTGTTGATTTCCATGGCTGTATCACAAAGGTCAAGTAAGAGCTCGACAATTCGAGCATGAGGTCGCCTTTGAGCGAATGATCGCCCTCTCGCATGACCAAATCCTGATGTAGACCTTGATCGAGATCTGCCTGACGTAGGTGTCCCAGGAGAAGCTGTACCAGATGATGCAGTTGAGTTGGATCCAATGGGCAATCCTTTGTATTCAGCCTGAGGTGGAGTGGGCATCACAGTTTGTTCTCCCGAGCTCGATCGAGCTTGACGAGCTTCCATCGCATCCAACACTCTGACAATGGCATGTCGGTGTTCCGTCAGATTATCCTGACACATTTGTACTTCCATCTCGGCTTTATGTTCTTGAAGGCACAACTCGGAATGTTTTTCGAACCACCAAGGAGGAATTTGACGTTCGCAGATTCGGCAAAGAAGTGGTAATGGCGGGGCATGATTTTCTGGATCTTCAAGACCATGTTCCGCCACTGTAGTCAGATAACTCGCAAGAATTTGTGCTCCTGATCCCAGAGAGTCGACTATAACGGGGGCGAGGTCAATGTGAATTTCTCGTGGGGCTATCCAAGGTCTAATCATCCACATTGTCTACATGAAATTAGTTGGCAGTCATTGATAGAGGCCATAAAACCTACATGACTGTCTGCATCGGATCCTCGATCATGTACCATAATTCCCTGTCCTTCTAGATCAATTGTAGCCGGTTCCGTTTGTGACATTGCTGCTACACCTTCGCCTTCACCTTCCTTGACATCTTCCAAATTTTGAAGTGGTAACAATCTTGAAGCCGGTCCTAACTGAATCGTGAATCGTATAATGTAACTGCGAGAATCATCCTTCTTCATCTCCTCAACCGTATCTACAAATACACTCTTGTCATTCTCCCCAATCAAAATATCCGCAATTGGTTTGCCTTGAACAGAATCCAATGTTGTACCGATGACATCCGTCCATGAGGGGCTGACCCAATTTATTTTGCCATCCATACTCAGATCCATAATGACATTAAGAGTTTCTTCTGCTGCCTGTCTGAGATCTTCTCTTTCTTCTCGAATATCCGCACTGAGTGATCGTTCCATCATACCGGCCTCTGCGCGCAGATGCGACACAGCAGGTGGTGCTAACATTTTCTGGTCTCCCTCCATCTTGTCTGTCTTATAAATTGAGATTCCTCAGAATCGAACCTTTTTGCGTCAACATTGACTGTTGTATGTTGCCCTGAGACTCTCGGATCAAATCATTGATGTCGTACGCGTCTTCGTTGGTGACAATCGGGTGTTATCGTGTCTTCGCAAGTTTCGAATGGTGGAGGGGAAAAACGGTCGAGTCGACCATGAGGAATGAACCCTAGCTAGCAAGTAATAGAGAAAGAAGACATCGTAATACTTGATATATTGATGTCTCTTCCTATAAGTTATTGTATTGTGGTTGGGAATGAATGAATTTTGGATGGAAGTAAGTATTCGGGAACCACCGTAGTTGTGTGTTGGGGGGAGACAAATTTAAGTGGTGGTTTCTATCGATATACGCACGGCAGAGCTATTCCGTTTGAGTTGGTGGTTTGGGTGGAGTTGTGATCAACCAACCTCAGGTTTAAGGTACCTTTATTAGTATTATTTGATTATGATTTTGATTGGAACGGGTGTGAGTGAGTGTTATATTTTGAATTGACAAACTGTAAGTAGAAGCAATGGGGTGGTTTAGAAGTTCACACAGACAAGGAATGGAAGGTTATTGTGATACAAGAATGTTTATTTTCGGAAGTGAAGTCGAATAATAAAATCGAATGTTTCTTGTTCTTATACAATATCAGTATTCCTATATTGATTTGATCTAATTGATTATACTCCGATTATACTCCTAGTTTGGACTGATAACCCGGGTATGAGTAGGTAGATCTTTTCCAGGTGAGGAGGCCAACCAATTATATTAAAGAAAATATATTTTGACAACAAATCAGAATAAAGGAATGATTTTAGGAAAATGCCAAAACAATGGACACTAACTTATCTTGACTAGTTGACTGTTAGACTAATAGAGGCACGAGGGCAGTGAGAGAAACCTAAAAGAGAGAAAAGGGCAACTTTAAGATGTGATGTTCGCTTTACTAGGTAGTATCTACAACCACACTTCGTAGGTTACGGTTACGGGTTATGGGTTACGTGAAGGGTATATCCGTAACTATAGTATGTATGTATAAGAGGAATAAATAAGCTGGGGTTGGATCTCTAGGATTGGCTATTAGTGCTGTGTTGTGTTTTGATATACCGGTAGATATGAATATAGCTATGGATAGATATGGTATGGATATTAGACCTTTTGATTCGATATCGAAAACATATACGAGTATCTAGTAATTTCATATTCTATTTCCTCATCAATAAAGACAGATATGAATGACCTCAAACACCTCGAATACTTTCTCGTCTTCAATACTTATCTCATACGTTCGACATCATTATAACTCCGTACAGACCCCTTCGGCAGTTGTTATTCTATCTATTTAGCTACTAGGCAGTAAGCGTATATGTATGTATACTACTGAATTACTGTATGACAACGAATGCATTTTAGAAGTACCTACAACCGATTAATGATTACTTATTCACTTCATCAACTAACTAGACAACAATCTAGAACTTCAATCCCCTCTCTCCTGAGTCATGATTAACATCATGTCATCAACCTCTGAACAAATTCAAGTCATAGCGATAATAAAGTTTTAGACCTTCCTCCTTCCTCATAACTTCTTTCTAGTCACTAGGTAGACATACTAACACGATCTTACCATCAGCCCTCCAGCCACAACTCATCGTCGCAATCATTTCTTCCTTTTCCCCATTCCCCTTCCCCTTCCCCTTCCCCTTCCCCTCTTTCAAACTTTTGCGCAACGACGGCACACGACTACTCGTACTATATTCTAACATCCTTCTACGTCCAATCCATCAGAGCTCGAAACTCGAGCACAGCATTATCTATCTCTATCCGAGTATAACCTAGGTAATCAGATAACAAACATCTAAACTACCTCATACCGGTACTCGTACAAATTATATACAGTATGTAAGTACTCGAGTACATACCCCCTCATCACAACCAACCAACATTCCAAAACCCCCAACAAACCACAAACCACAACCTCAACCTCATATCACATCACATCATAACATCATAACATATACACAACATGAGCTAGCTCTCTCTCCAAATCATACCTTGGTATAATTGGATCCCTCGCTCCCCCCCTCCACAAAACGATATGATTACATATTGCATAACAGTACAACCCACACAACCCACACAACCCCCATATACACACAAACCCAATTATCCAAATGAATGAATCTTCCATCACACAACATGATTCCTCAATCTAAATATTCTCCGACGTTTTTAACCAAATGGTTTTTTTTTCTTCGTCATCTGCGTTTTTTTGTGAGATCTGCATAGAGATGGGATTCCTGAGGTTTTCTGTTCGGACAGTTTTGTGGTATGAGGTAGGTAGGTAGGTATGAGCTTGAGGTACCGTACCGTCTAAACTCAACCTAACTGAGTCTGGAGCAAACCACATTGGTCTAGCTAGCTGCAGATTATATGTTTGAAAGACTCTGAAAATTGGAATTCATTTTGGTTTTATATTTGTATATTAGCGATTAAAAATAGACTATATATAGCTTGGTTTTGTACAAATGCGGTTCTTCGCTCCAAACTCAATTAGTTGAGTTGAGACGATATAAGTAAGTAATTGGTATAAATTTTAGAGTAAGGACAAAAGATTCAATACCTAGCCCCTCCAGTTCCAGTTATTCGGTAAGAAGCCTCGAATAATCTATATAGGTATTTACTTTGCGTTGCATACTTCTTCTCGAACTTCCTCGCAACTCGCTACTTACCACACCATCGCCATTTCCAGTATAGCACTGCCATGTATCCCAAAGAATAGCTATCGAACGAATGAGCAATGAGGTAAAAGCCCAGCAACAATTCTATTCTATTGTACAAGTACTGTATTCCATATCCTACATAATCAGAACATATATATTCATCTCCTCAAATATCCTCACCACAGTGACCACACACATACGGAGATCTAGTATCACCAAGCTCAAACCCCAGATATCTTCAAAACAAACATCATCCATCATCACATCATCCTACACACTTACTTTATACGACTCGAATACTCGAGTTACTATACTCCCTACCACTCACCGCATACCACCACACGACCAATCCAATCCCATATCCCCTCACCCAGAAACCTTTCACTACATAATATGATCGCGCGCAAAGTATTACAATACTATAAGAACATTACCCAGCCCCTAAAGGTTAACTAAAGCGAGCCTTATTCAACTCACCTTATCATACCACATCATATCCATCCTAGCCAGATCAAACCAAACCATACAAGTACAGTATCAATACAATTCAATTCAATACCAATACCAATACTCGAATACAACTCCTAACAACCTATTCTCTTACCAGATGTTCTCGCTTCCTACTTGAGGGGTAAAGTATAAAGTAAAATATATTTACTCAGTAGTTATTATTGTAACCCACCACAATCCTAAGGGCCAAAGCTCTCTAATCCAGTACAGTACTACAAACGCCACAAATACTACAAATGCTACAAACTACCGAGGCCTGCAACTGACATTTCGCCAAAACTCTGAAAATAATATTCTGCCTGAAATAAAACTATATATAGATTTTAGTGATATGTCTATAATAATATTATATTCTTTGTTATTTTACTTAGATATAATATTCTTATAATATTTGTTTATATTTTATTTTATAATAATACAAGCTTGGCTCCGGCCCCTTCAGGGCCTAGGAGCCCTAAAGAGATCTCCACCTTCACTCGTACTGCGTATGTGAGGGATCACAAGCAGGGAATAGGCCGGATAGTATCAGTACTACAGTTAGGGTATAGTTTGTACAGAACTGAACTCATACCACTGCCATGGTGGTATGAGGGTAGTTCTTTATAGATTTCAGTACGAACTAACTAATAAAGAACAAAGGATGTGAAAGGATATGGAGTATCCTTTCACATCCACGCTTTTCCGGCTAGTCCCCAGAAGGGGATTAGTCTCTACGCGGTGACAGTATTAGTATTATTTCATTATTATATTAATTATATGCTTTTTGATGAATTCGATAAATACTGTATAGTATACCTGGATGATATCCTAATATATTTTACAAATAAATCAGAATACAAGGAATATATTTGTATAATTATCAAAAAAACTTATAGATGCTGGCTTATAAATCGATATTAATAAATATAAATTTGAGATAATTTTAACCAAGTACTTAAATTTAATAATTATAATAGATAAAATAGAAATAGATAAGGATAAAGTTATTGTAATTATTTTTTGGGAAAAACTATTATTAATAAAAGATCTTCAACATTTTTTGGAATTCATTAACTTTTACCACGAGTTTATTAAAGATTTTTCAAAAATCTGCCGTCTATTAAACAATCTTCTGTATAAAGGAGTAGTCTGGATATAGATCGATAAATACCAATATGTTTTCATAAATCTTAAACTTGCCTTTGTTATAGCTCCTATTCTAGTCTACTTTAATTATAACAAAAAATCGGTTTTAAAAATAGATATATCGGATTAGGCATCAAAAGGTATCCTTTCTCAATATAATAATAATAATATTCTTCGTTTTGTAGTATACTTTTCCTTGAAATATTTATTT